ATGCACCCAACATAGGAGCATCGACATATGTGAAACAAATACTAACAGAATTAAAGGAGAAAATAGAATGCAATGCATTCATCTTAGGAGACTTCAACACATCACTCACTCCAAAGGACAGATCAACCAGACAGAAAATAAGTAAGGACACAGAGGCCCTGAACAACACACTAGAAAAGATGGACTTAACAGACATCTACAGAACTCCACACCCAAAAGCAGTAGGATACACATTCTTCTCAAGTGCATATGGAATATTTTCCAGAATAGACCACATACTAGGCCATAAAAAGAGCCTCAGTAAATTCAAAAAGATTGAAATTCTACCAACCAACTTCTCAGATCACAAAGGTATAAAACAAGAAATAAATTGTACAAAGAAAACAAAAAGGCTCACAAACACATGGAGGCTTAACAACATGCTCCTAAATAATCAATGGATCAATGACCAAATTAAAAGAGATCAAGCAATATATGGAGATAAATGACAACAACAGCACAAAGCCCCAACTTCTGTGGGACGCAGCGAAGGCAGTTCTAAGAGGAAAGTATATAGCAATCTAGGCCTACTTAAAGAAGGAAGAACAATCCCAAATGAATAGTCTAAAGTCACAATTATTGAAACTGGAAAAAGAAGAACAAATGAGGACCAAAGTCAGCAGAAAGAGGGACATAATAAAGATCAGAGAAGAAATAAATAAAATTGAGAAGAATAAAACAACAGAAAAAAAAATCAATGAGACCAAGAGCTGGTTCTTGAGAAAATAAACAAAATAGATACCTCCTAGGCAGACTTATTAAGAGAAAAAGAGAATCTACACACATCAACAGAATCAGAAACGAGAAAGGAAAAATCATGATGGACCCCACAGAAATACAAAGAATTATTAGAGAATACTATGAAAATCTATATGCCAACAAGCTGGAAAACCTAGGTGAAATGGACAACTTTCTAGAAAAATATAACATTCCAAGACTGACCAAGGAAGAAACAGAAAATCTAAACAGATCAATTACCAACAATGAAACTGAATCGGTAATCAAAAACCTATCCAAGAACAAAACTCCCAGGACAGATGGATTCACTGCTGAATTTTATCAGACATATAGAGAAGACATAATACCCATTCTCCTTAAAGTTTTCTAAAAAATAGAAGAGGAGGGAATACTTCCAGACTCATTCTATGAAGCCAGCATCACTCTAATACCAAAACCAGGCAAAGACCCCACTGAAAAAGAAAATTACAGACCAATATTCCTGATGAATATAGATGCAAAAATACTCAACAAAGTATTTGCAAACTGAATTAAAAAATACATCAAGAGGATCATACACCATGATCAAGTGGGATTCATCTCAGGGATGCAAGGATGATACAACATTCGAAAATCCATCAACATCATCCACCACATCAACAAAAGAAGGACAAAAACCACATGATCATCTCCAGAGATGCTGAAAAAGCATTCAACAAAATTCAACATCCATTCATGATAAAAACTCTCAACAAAATGGGTACAGAGGACAAATACCTCAATAATAAAGGACATATATGACAAACCCACAGCCAACATCATACTTAACAGTGAGAAGCTGAAAGCTTTTCACCTAAGATTGGTAACAAGACAGGGATGCCCACTCTCCCCACTTTTATTCAACATAGTACTGGAGGTCCTAGCCACAGCAATCAGACAAAACAAAGAAATACAAGGCATCCAGATTGATGAAGTCAAACTGTCACTATTTGCAGATGACATGATATTGTACATAAAAAACCCTAAAGACTCTACCTCAAAACTACTAGAACCAATATCTGAATTCAGCAAAGTGGTAGGATACAAAATTAATACACAGAAATCTGTGGCTTTCCTATACACTAACGATGAACTAGCAGAAAGAGAAATCAGGAAAACAATTCCATTTACAATTGCATCAAAAAGAATAAAATACCTAGGAATAAACCTAACCAAGGAAGTGAAAGACCTATACCCTGAAAACTGCAAGACACTCTTAAGAGAAATTAAAAGAGGACACTAACAAATGGAAACTCATCCCATGCTCTTGGCTAGGAAGAATTAATATTGTCAAAATGGCCGTCCTGCCTAAAGCAATCTACAGATTCAATGCAATCCCTATCAAAATACCAACAGCATTCTTCAATGAACTGGAACAAATAGTTAAAAAATTTATATGGAACCACAAAAAACCCTGAATAGCCAAAGCAATCCTGAGAAGGAAGAATAAAGCAGGGGGGATCTCGCTTCTCAACTTCAAGCTCTACTACAAAGCCACAGTAATCAAGACAATTTGGTACCAGCACAAGAATAGACCCACAGACCAGTGGAACAGAATAGAGAGTCCAGATATTAACCCAAACATATATGGTCAATTAATATATGACAAAGGAACCATGGATTTACAATGGGGACATGATAGCCTCTTCAATAGCTGGTGTTGGCAAAACTGGACAGCTACATGTAAGAGAATGAAATTGGATCATTGTCTAACCCCATACACAAAAGTAAAGTCAAAATGGATCAAAGACCTGAATGAAAGTTATGAAACCATAAAACTCTTAGAAAAAAACAGGCAAAAATCTCTTGAACATAAACATGAGCAACTTCTTTATGAACGTATCTCCTGGGCAAAGGAAACAAAAGTAAATATGAACAAGTGGGACTATATCAAGCTGAAAAGGACAGCAAAGGACACCACCAACAGAACAAAAAGACATCCTACAGTATGGGAGAATATATTCATAAATGATATCCGATAAAGGGTTGACATCCAAAATATAAGAGCTCATGTACCTCAACAAACAAAAAGTAAATAATCCAAATAAAAAATAGGCAGAGGATCTGAACAGACACCTCTCAAAAGAAGAAATTCAGATGGCCAACAGGTACATGAAAAGATGCTCCACATCGCTAATCATCAGAGAAATGCAAATTAACACCACAATGAGATATCACCTCATACCAATAAGGATCACCACCATCCAAAAGACAAACAACAACAAATGCTGGCAAGGATGTGGAGAAATCGGAACTCTCCTACACTGCTGGTGGGAATGTAAATTAGTTCAACCATTGTGGAAAGCAGTATGGAGGTTCCTCAAAAAGCTCAAAATAGAAATACCATTTGACCCAGGAATGCCACTCCTAGGAATTCACCCTAGGAATGCAGCAGCCCAGTTTGAAAAAGACATATGCACTCCTATGTTTATTGCAGCACTATTTACAATAGCCAAGAAACGGAAGCAACCTAAGTGTCCATCAGTAGATGAATGGATAAAGAAGATGTGGTACACATACACAATGGGATATTATTCAGCCATAAGAAAACAAATCCTACCATTTGCAACAACATGGATGGAGCTAAAGGGTATTATGCTCAGTGAAAAAAGCCAGGCAGAGAAAGACAAGTATGAAATGATTTCACTCATATGTGGAGTGTAAGAACAAAGAAAAAAACTAAAGGAACAAAACAGCAGCAAACTCACAGAACCCAAGAATGGACTAACAGTTACCAAGGGAAAGGGACTGGGGTGGATGGGTGGGTAGGAAAAAGGGGGGAAAAAGGGGGCATTACTATTAGCAGAGATTATATAGGGGGTGGGGGCACGGGGAGGATTGTACAACACAGAGAAGACAAGTAGTGATTCTATAGCATCTTACTACGCTGATGGACAGTGATTGCAATGGGGTATGTGGGGGGGACTTGGTGATGGGGGGAGTCTAGTAAACATAATGTTCCTCATGTAACTGTAGATTAATGATACCAAAAAAGAAAAAAAGATTATAGCCCACAAAACTATGTGCATGAAAAAAGACTGAGAGAACATACTCCATATTGCTGATTGTTTATTTGAGGGTGATGGGATTAAGAGTTTTATCTTTATAGTGTTTTTTTGGTACCATGTTTTTTTACTTTTAAAATACTATATTTATATATGTCCTTCTCTAACTCACAAAATAGTGTTTCTTCATCAAAAAACTCAGGGACCCTTGCCTTGAAGGTCTTCACAGATGGTGCCTTCCTGCACTGGGAGTTCTTGGGGTTAAGTGATTGTCTCTGGCTCTGAGGCCACACCTTTACAGATCATTCCCTGTGTGACTCGGTGTGACCATGTCTCCAAGCAGAGCAAGCTACTGCCTCTGCTTCTGGCTAGCTTAAACTCAATTGGGAAGTTTAGTGGGGAACATGTCTTATCTGGCTTCCTGTATTCTTGCTTTGGCTCACAGGCATTCCAAGCTGCACCATCTGAACCATAATTTAAGGCTGTCTTGCCATGATCCAGACATGTATAAATAATAAACCCAAAAAGGGGGGAAGACCAGAACCTTCCCCAATTATTTCCTTTCTCTTGGCCTTAGGCAAATTCTAGACCAAGTGTGAAAAGGAATTTCTAGTCCTATGTCTAAGGCTGAATGGAAAATTCTTCTGGGTATTCCTCGTGCTAATGGAGAGCAGTAGAGGCATCACCCTTTCCTGTTTCACAGTTCCTGAACGTCAGCATCCAAACAATGGTTGTTTGTCTAGGCAGACTGAGAATGCTATGCAAATTTCAGGAGACACATAAAAGCCCAAAGGATTTTGCTTAGCCTCCTAACACTCCTGAGAATGGAATAACTGGTTGTGACTCATCACCACCGAAGGCTGAGCCCTCGCACCACTAAGCTTGTTACTGCTGTTCTCTTATGGAAGACAGTGCTACTGACCTACTTTCAAGAGGACATCATGCCCTTTGAGTAGCTTACACAACTACAGGAGTAGACCAGTCATACTTTCTTGCTCAGTCTCCTTTTAACAAGGCCCTTCTGTAAGATGGCTGCCTGGGCCATCTTGGCTGGACAGTGAGTTTTCCTCTGTGGAAGGCCAACTGGTCTGCTCAAGGCTGTACATGGCCTTGTTAGGGCCCATACTCTTACCTAATGAGCTGAGCAGCCCAGATGGTTCAGAAAAAGGAGGTGGTGAGTGGTCACCCAGGGGGGCTCACCTGCTGGGTGGTGGCCAGACAGTACTCTGCTGTGCTCAGGATGCTGCAGATGAGGCAGAGCTCCTCTAGGGTGAACTTGGCTACTTCCGAGCCCTCCTTTTCCTTGAGGAGGCTGCTGATGGTCAGCCCTCCACTGCTGCTTGTGGTTCTGGGGAAAAGGAACAGGAACCAGTCAGGCTGGGACTTCTCACTTGCTTCCTGAACTGGAAACTGCACATCTTAAGGCAAAGAAAAGGGGGAAGGAAAGGCTGGACATGGCTCAAACAAACCCATATACAATGACTCCTTTTCCTATTGACCTTACCTTGACTATCATCTGTTTAAATTCTCTGACCATAAGAAAAAGGAAAGGGTAACTCTAACAGTAATCAGTCATGTTAACTATGATGACTCTGAGACTCAGAGAAGGGTGCAGAGCAGCCTCTCTGCTTAGCTTGGCATTTCCTGATCTGTAGAGCTCATTCGGAATTGTCTGTAGCACAAAAGCTGGTTCCCAAATTATTTCTGTTAAGAAAATTCTGCAAGGGAATTTGTAGGCTGTGCTTGAGGAGGGTACAAAAGTAAATATTAAGACCTGGTTCCTGCCCAATGAATGCCCTGACTGGCCTTAAGAAATCACAAAGCATCTCATCCCTTCCTCTGATCTGATCATGTGTTCACAAAATGTAAAAATGTAGTTATAAAACTTCCTGTTATTAAATCTTACAACTACAGACTATCTACTGTTAAAAGAACATATGGGATGTGAACAGTCCCCAGGAATGGGTTGTTTTAATTTGTCTGATTTCTCTCAGACCATTCAAGTTCAGTTGGACAATATCCACCATATCATTGATAAGTTTTCACAAATGCCTAAGGTGCCTAACTGGTTTTCTTGGTTTCACTGGAGATGGCTGGTAATTATAGGTCTGCTTTGGTTATGTAACTGTATTCCTATTATGTTAATGTGTGTACGCAATTTAATTAGTAGTTTAAAACCTATACATGCTTAAGTTACTCTACAAGAAGATATGTCAAAGAAATAATCAATCTTCCTATGTTATCTTCCGTCTGCTACTACTATAGCTTTTCTTCTTCCTTCCTAATTACAACCCTTAAATAGAATTCATGCCTCATATCGAATTTACCGAGTATCATAATTCTTCCAAGTGATAAAGATACCTCAAGACAAATGCTGGGCATAAGAGCCACAGGGCACAGGGCATAAATCTGCAAAGAAGTAAAAAACTAACCTTTTCAAACAATATTACTTCTCTCTCACTTACCAACTTTACATTTCCCTGTATGGCCCCGGAAGATGACTGGTTAGCCAGAGACGGGTAAGATTCCTCAAGGGAGGAACAATCTAAGACAGGCACAGTCGCAGGGGGGCCGTCAGGTGAGAAACTGGGGATCAACAGAGGTGAGGCTTAGAACCTCAGCCCCCCTGTTTTGAGAGAAATCTTCTGCGTCCGTGGATGTTTTGTTGCCCTTGTCTAGCTTGGATTAATACTTAGTCTATAGGCACACACCTGATCATCTACATTTGCCCTCTTACAGCACTAAACTATGTTTTCTACCTTTATCTTGCATCTACCTACCACTTCAGCATTTTATTAAAAATAATAATAATAATGAGAAAAATGTGGTATCCACTTATAAATCAAGTATAAAAATCAAACGAATATTCATATTTGACCTGATTGTTTATAGGTCATAATGCATGATCAAAACCGAAAGTTTCTGTGATGAATGCCCTTGTACTGTTCACCATGTAAGAATTTATTCACTATGTAAGAATTTGTTCACCATGTAAGAACTTGTTCGTTATGCTTCAGAAGATTGGAGACTGACGAGAATTAGGCTTGGGGTGGATTAATGATTGTACATTGAGCATTGAGTCCCCTATACAGAATTTTATTGTTGTTAACAACCATTTGATCAATAAATATGAGAGATGCCCTCTCAAAAAAAAACACACAAAAAAACTTCCTGTTATTTCAATGGTGAGATTGTGTCTTTTAAAGGAGACAGAATTCAATGACATTTTACTTAAAAATGAAAGACATTTCTCCTTAAATAAAAAACTAAAATAGCCAAAAAGCCCTGAACCTGCCCAGTCTTACTGGTAATAAAAGACTGGAAATCATCTTAATTTCCAGCACTTAAGGCTATTCCCCCAGACCCATGAGGACGCAGGCACTCTCTTCCACTGTGGGTTAGGAGCATTAGATTGCACCACTTTTCTAGAGGTATTTTTCAGGAGTTTTAAAAAAATGTTCAGACTATTTGACCCAGAAATTCTACTGCTGTTCAAGGTTGTTTTTCTGATTGTTATTTAAAATACCATAACAGTGAACCCAACTTGAATGATCAAGTAAGAGAATGATCGATAAGAACCTCGGAAGCTGAGAAGGTGCTCGGTATGTTGCATTATTGTGGCTTCATCAATAGTGCTAGGGTGAATATTTACTGTCCCCAGTGCTGACGGCTTTCTGTTCTATGTATGTTCGGTACACATATGATGGGACCGTTCTCCCAGACCCATTCTCTGCTCCACTCTTCCTTTCTCTACGGCTTAGGAACTGATGTTGACAGACTTACGACCCAGGCATCCTGGCTCCCTGGCCTCCTGTTGGGTGCAGCCACGGGGAGACGCAGCAGGAAGTCAGAGAGGTTCTGAGTAATAACTAAGTTCTCCTGCTCCCTCTGCCTCAGTGGAGTCCTGGCACTGCCTGTGGCCTTCTATGACTACAGTATCTGTGGGGCAGCCCTTTGTCATAGCCTCAGCTATCAAGTGTGTGTAAAGTAGTAACAACTACCCACTTGTATGTGGATGCTTCAGAATCTTCTGCTGGTTCCTCTCGCCTGGGTCCTGGTTCCATTCCAGCTGAGCACACCAGCTGAGGCCATCCCAGCTGGGTACACTGCTGGTTCCTCTCACCTGTCTACTGCTTCCATCCCAGCTGAGGACACCATTTGTTTCCTGATGTTACACTGACTACACACATGGGAAAATGCTTGCAGGGTGAAGTTAAGTGAAAGCAGCAGGATGTAAAACTATAAGCAGTGTAGTTCTAATTCTGTCAAACAAACAAAAGCATACAATCCCACACATCATATATAAATAAAGAGCAGAAAAATATGTACCAAAAAGTTAAACTTGTTTTCTCTGGGTGGTGAGATAACAGAAAATTATTATTGTTGTCTTTGTGCTCTTCTGTGTTTTCTAAACTAAAATGACCTTGTATTACTTAGATAATCAGGACAAAAGTTATTCAAAATTTAGAAACAAGTTTTATCATAGTCAAAGAAATCTCACTGGTGCAGATCATGTGTTGCTTCAAATCTTTCAGAGCATAGGGATTTTATTTTCTTTCCTCCAAATAATGTAAAACTCTATTGACACATTTTAGTGACAATGACTGAAGCTAATTTCAGAATTGTTGAATTTCACCATGGGGATGATTCATAAATACTAAATTCTGAGGTATTACTTTAGATCATGTTCTCCTACAACTGAAACTGCCACATAACCAAAACATCTCTAAAACTCTGGTTGAACAATCCATTTATTTCAAGTAATAAGCAATATAACAATATTCTAATGCCCCAGAATAATACAGTGAAGTCACTGTGGTTGGGAGCTGTTCTGTGCTCCCGTTTCCCCCCAGATTCCACCACATTAGACTCTATTCAGCATGGTAAGATACATATGTCCTAAGAGAGACTCTGGAATGTAATCGGCTGAGGGAAAAGTAGATTCATGCCTCCCATCTACTCTTCCCAGGGCACACCCTCACTGAATGGGCCTGAATGAAATTGTGCATGCTATTTATTTCCACCACCACCCCACTTTTTTTTTTGCCAAATACCCATGGTTAAATCCATGTATATTTAATATATATATGATGGGACTGACTCCTTTGAACCCAATGTGGTTAGGATCTGACCTATGCTGGCAGCTAGTGTGGGCATTTCCTCTAATGGTCCTGATCAGCTATGGAATCCCATTGGAGAGGAAATAGCTCAGACCCTTGGGAATGCACTAAGGCTAAGGGTGTTTTCCTCCCTGATACTCTTAGCAGTCCCGTAAACAACTTCAGAGTGGACCTCTTTAAAGATTTCCATATTTAGATATTCAGAACCTTACTTCAACACTCAGACCAAGAAGAATAGGACTCACTTGGGCAGGTTGCCAGAGAGGATTTTCCAGGCATATTCTCGGAGGTACTTCTGGAAAATGGTGGTCAGAGCAATCATGGGCTCCCCAGTGCTGAGTTGAGAGCACTGCACCATGCATTTCTTGTAGTAGACAAAGAGGTCGGCACAGCTGGGGAGCACGGCTCCTCCTTCATCAGTGTTGGGCTTAGGTGGCCCTTGGGCTTTGAAATCAACCACAAACCGGTCTATCAGCTCTCCAAGGTTTCTAGGAGGAAGAAAACCTGAGATGTTATTTTACTTCAACAAAGATAAAGGAAATATGCTTGACTGCTGTGAGTAAATCATACCTAATGCTTTTTACATTTAAAATTGGACCCATTTTTATCAATATCATCTTTAACCACTACCACCACTCCTGCAATAACAGTGAGGTAGGGCAGGGACATAGGACAAGCTTCATGATTAATTTTTCCTGCGTATGAAGAAAAATGCCGAGATATAAATACTGTACTAAAAACAGGAGGGACTCCATCTTGGCTAGGGATTTGCCCTGTGCCAAGCAGGAGTTCAATGAACTTCCCTTTCCTCCCTCTGCTCTTCCTTGCTCTCTGCTGCCTGCACAGCTGCTGCCATTCTCTACTACTCACTTTAATGAATTCCTTACTGACACTCATGCGACATGTTCGAGAATTCTTCTTGATCAGAGTTAAGAATCCTCCCCTGTCCAGGTTGAGGTTCCACCTAGTGCACAGGGAGACACTCCCAGATGCAGCTGCCTGGCAATAGCAGCAGCAATGCATTTTGGCATCTGTGAGCTGCTTTGGACTTTTCAAGGCAATTCATGGTCACATTTGACCCCAAATCCCTGTGAGGGAGATAAGGGATTACTGGACCCTCCAACAGATGAAAAAAATTAAGGCCTAGAGAGCTTGTCACACAATTTAGTGGCAGAGCTGAGCCTAGAATCCACCAATTAAGTGCAGGCACTGATCCTATTACCATATTATAGTACCATCTTCCCTCTCCACAAATGAAAACCCTAAATTATGAGTGTGATCACTTTCTGAACACTTATGATGTACCAGGCACTCTATCAGCACTTTATAAGCATCATTTCATTGACCTTCACTTAATCTTCACAGTAACCTTAGAAGCAAGTATCATTACTATCCTAATTTTCAAAAAGTGAGGGGCCAAAAAGTTAAAAGTGGAGGAGCCAGGATTCAAAACCAAGCAGCCTGGCTCCAAACCTCATGCTTTCAACCACACTACCTACTATGTCCTGAAACACAAAAATGTTATGACATCAGCAAATACTTAGATACCATTAACCTCATGTGCCCATGAGACAGATGCCTAAACAAAGAGAAACTATAAGGAAATATCCTAATGGTTTTTTTTTCCTTTAATGTACTCCTTTTTTTTCCTTTAAAACTTCCAGAATCAGAGGTGTAAAAAAGCTAGGAAGAATACAAGGTATGAGCAGCTCCAGGCTTGCCCCAGGACAGGGCAGTGATGATGGCTGCCATTTTTCTCCCATTTCCCATCCACACATCACTGCATTTGCCCCAGTCACAGAGTCACCACGAGTTAGAACCCAGCAGAACTTTATTAGCTGTTCTTTGCACAGTTGTGCTGCATGAAAAATGGGAGGGGGCTATCCCTGACATTTTGCATATTTGTAAGTTGCTGTAGAAGGGCTACAGGAATCCAGCTGTGCTTTTAAATGTATTTATGTAACAGTCAGGAAGAAAAGACAAGAACCACACACAGCATCAATTAGCAAGAATAGGAGAAAACTGACATTTTACTCAAGAGCTTTTGTTATTTAAAGTTTATTATATCCAGATGTAGCTGCTCTGCCCTCAGAGAACCTCAGGCCCAGGCTTGGTCTTCGTGGTCATGGCCAGCAAGCAGGGAGGGAGCTCCTTGTGACCTTGGAAGCTCTAGGGTCACTGCCCTGTTCCTCACATCTTCTTGCCTCACCTTCCCCTTCGATCTCCCACCTCTCTTCCAGTGGCCCTTCTCTCAGCCAGGCTCACCTCAGCTGTTCCCTCCTCCATCTCTCTCCTCAACTCTGGGCCTTTGCCCGGATGTACCCCCAGCCAAAATGCTCCTGCCACCTCTTCACTGATCCTTCCAGCTCAGTTCCAAGGTGCACCCAGACAACTGCTCATACCAAACCTGTCTCAATTTCACTTCTGTCATCTGTATCACACTAACACTTCATTGTTTTTTTTAATACTTACTATACAGTGTAAGGATGTCAACACTTGCATGCCAACCTTCTCCCATCCTGGGCCCACAGCAAGCAGTGGTCATCAATAACGGCTCTGTTTTTCACTGACATTTAGTGTAAAATGTAGACTCCTTCTAAGCAGCACTTTTAGCCAGTCACTTGTAATAAGGTGAGGTTTGTATAAAAGGTAAAAAAAGCTGCTTGCTATACAGGAGCAGAATCTTTGATTCATGTATGTTCTCATAAGGTCTTTGAGAGTAGGGATAATGTTTATGTTACTTCTTCTCTCACTCATGCTTATGTGTGAAGCTGATCTCACAAGGGTGTTGGTGCCTGATACATACTCGGCTGATCAACCTCCACACTTTGCTCCTAAGGGAGGGTGGGAAGCTGGAGACTGGTGGTGGAAGGTGGGGCTGGTGCAGTGATGGAGAGCAGAGAGCAGAAGGCAAACGGGTCCACGTGAATCTTCTTAGGAGAGATTCTAATCTCTAAATCTATAGGACCAAAAAAAACGGGGCCAGAGCTCTGAAGTGTTTTACTTTAGCCACTCATCTAATTCCCCTAGAAGTTGAAGTCAGGGACTTTCTCACCTACCTCCTATTTTCGAGCCAACCCGATGAAGAAGATTATAAATTATGATCACAGAATATAAAAAAATTCTACTTAAAAAAACCTCCAAAGATCTTCCATATTTTGCAGAATGTCTACCAGGTTACTTTTGACCTTGCTCTTGGGTGTAGATGAGATCTAAACCAGAGTAGCCTTCCTCTCCCTTCCATCCTCCATTCTGCAAAAGCATGTGTCTACAACATATAAGACATTAGAAAGTGAGTAATCAATATTTCACAGAATTGATGATCCAATTCAGTCAAACTGACTGAGTGCTTAGTATGTGCAAGGCTCTGTGGGCTGTAGGTATAACATATAAATGAATTCAACTGAAAAAATAAAAGCAAAGATTATCATTTCTTGTAGGCACCAAACACTACTCTGAGTTTTGGCAAGATATCCTTGCAGGACTACTGGTGAAAGGGGTGTGTGGCATGTTGACTGGATTCACAAGGAGGCACCTTTTACATCCTAAAGCAATTACAATCAGAGAAGAGTTTATAAAGGGCCAGGTTCTGATCAAGGTGAAGATGACTGCAGGTGTTAAGACACAGCACCTGCTCATTAGAGGCTTTGACCTATTTGGGGAGACAGGACCTTCGTGATTATGATACTTGGATTTCAAGATTGCAACAGAATGCTAACTTTGCAGTACAGACAATATGAACAATTTGTTTTAGACAAAGGAAATAGAGGAAATGACAGAAAAAGTCACAGCAGACAGGTGAGAAAAAAGAGCATGGAAGCACACATGAGCATAGGAAATGGTGTAAGGAAGAGGATGGGAAGTAAGAGAAGTGTGGCTGAGGTAGGAGATGTAAACTGAGAAAATGCAGCCTGCAGCTTGATTTATACTCTCCTGTATTCCCACAGCAAACTATTGATATTTTTATGCTTTCATGTTGTGTACCACAATCTTTTTTTTTTTGGTGTGTCTTTCCCATTAGGCTATAATCTTATAAACTAGGCACTGGGTGGGGTGTACACAACTGCCTTTAATCCTCACAATAGCCCTGAGTAGAAGGCATTATTATCCCATTTTATAAATGAAGAAACTGAGGCTAAGAAACATAAGATAGTTTTCCCTAGGTCACAGAATGCACTGGAGCTGGAATTTGAACTTGGGAATGTCTGACTCCAAAGTCAAGCTCTACCCACTGTATCATGCTATAAGGTCCAAACTGTAAAGCACTCTACAGATATGTCGAATTATGATATTTTATGTTATTCACTTCCTCTCCAGCTTAAAAAAAATGTCATGGATGTAGATGGTGTCTTTTACCCTCTTCCCTGAGCTTGAGCTTTTTGCCCAAGAGCTGTAAGAGCATTTCATGGGGCCATTCCTCAGGCCAAACTACTGGGAGTTCCACAGATAAATAAAGTGACCCAGAGTGGTGTCAGTGGAAGGAAAGATCTAAACATGAAGACAAGGAGAACCACACTGCAGAGCAAGCCTATCAGTGGACGATCAAAGCAGTTTCCTCTGGTGGACCTGCAGTTGGCTTTCACGGCCACATTCTAACTGGGAAGTAATGTTGGCAATGGGAGAGGAAGATGGTAGTCAGAAAAAGCTGGCAAGGAGGCGAGCATGGGCAAAGCAGCTTAAGACCCCTACGGAGTTACAGAACTTGTCAGTTCAAGGGCACTCAAACTAATTGATACCTCCGCCCCTTCCCTTCAGCTGGGGCCAAGGATTTGGCTCTGGTGTGGCCAGTGGGGTTGGGGAGCCATGGTTGGGCTTGAGCATGGCTGGGAGATGGGTTACACACAGGGAAATGCAGCAAATAAGTAAATACATGGAAGATACTGGGAGTCAAGTTCCTCACTGATATAGAAGATAGTTAGACATGGAAAGGTGGAGGCCAACATAAACCCTGTAGTGTAGACTAGAATTGGAGTATTGGCATTAACTCATAGGCTTTAATATATAAATAGGTATAAAAATAGATATAGATGATGGGTATTTTCATATATCTATATACATACATATATTTCATAGCTCTCTCAGCTAGAGGACCTCATGGTATGACATCTAAGGAGTAACAGATATACCTCATGCCCAGAATGTAGTTTCTAAATATCACTCTCCATCAAAGGAACAGGGATCCTGGAAAAATGGATGATGCCAGGGCTGGGGTATGGAAGTACAGGTGAACCTGGTAGATTTTGTTGTGCTAGAAAGGAAGTGCTCAAAAAATGACAGGGACTTGCAAAAAGGGAGAAAAACCAGCATGAAGGGGTTCCAGTGGCCAAATCAGGGGCAATTTGAATTTTGAAATAAATAATAATGGATCCTGGAAGAGAAAAAGGACACTGGTGGAGAAACTGGTGAAATACAAATAAGATCTCGGGTTTAGTAAATATCAATGTCAACATGCTGGTTTTGATAACTGTACTATATCTGTGCAAGTACAGTATGTGCAAGGCTCTGTGGGCTGTTAACATCGGGGGAACTTGGAAGAAGGGAAAAATATGTACTATCTTGAAATTTTTCTGTAGGTTTAAATTAATTTCAACATAAAGTTAAGAGAAAAAAAAAGACAGTAATGGCTATAAGCCATTGAATAAAACAGGAATTCAGGAGTCCCTGATGGGAAATGAGAAAGCTTTTTCTTAAAATACATTGCCAACTAATAAATGCAGGTGAAATGAAGGGATTAGAAAAATCATCATTTGGCAAATATCTTAATAAGAAATCACTGAGGCAAGGATTATCTGGGTGGTAAAACTAGGAGGTGAAAGATGAGAAAAAGTCTATTTTAATATAATTTCATGTTTTTTGCCAACACTTTTTAGCAAATAGAGGAACATGGCAGATAGCATCTATACCAAGTCATGAAAGTGACCACCACCATTGTGGGACAAACTGATCCTGTGTGCCCCCTGGTAGGAATGACTGAGAGGAACACAGCACCACTTCTGCGTAAGTCATAAATCATGAGGAAACATCGGTCACACCCAGACAGAGGGACACTCCACAAAGTAAGCGGACTGTGCTTTTCAAAAATGTCCAGGTCATGAAAGATAATGAATGAGCTATTCTTCGGGACTGAAGAGACCAAAGATACATGATAAATAAATGCAACCTGTGATCCTGGAATAGACTGTGGATCTATTAAAAAACACAATCGGGACAACTGGGAAAATGGCCTGGGGCCTATGGATTAAATGGTAATATTGTATCAATGTTAATTTCCTGACTTTGATGGTTCCACTGTGTCAGTATTTATAGGGAACACACACTGAAGTATGAAGGAATAATGGGCATCCTACCTGTGATCTGAGAATTCAAATTGCTCAGAAAAAATTATGTATGTGCATATATAAGTGAGCATGTGTGCATGTGAGTGGGGAGGGAGAGATAACTGTTCTCTGAGGAACCTGGGTGAAGGATGCTCCATGTACAATTCTCATAAATCTTCCAGGAGTTTGAAGTTAATTCAAAATTGGTTTATAGAGAGATTCTAGGTTTGATGTAGCTAGAAGAGTGGGGGAGTGGGGGCTCTATTTCAACAAGAGGAACTCAGGAGAATGGGCAGAAATGGAATCACTAAGTTCTCTGACTGTGTGTGAAGAAAGTGCCTGTGTAGAGAAATCCTTCTGTAAGAGTCAGTAAAAGAAAACCATTCCATTTCCAAAAATAGAAGATATACTAACGTCTTCCTTGGACGTAAACAAAAATTGAGAAAGCCACTTAAAGTATGTAAGGACTGCTAAAGAGATGGCCTCCGTCCTGGGTCCTGGCTCTGCAGTCCTCCCCCTGCAGCCTGGCTTTTAGCTGGGACAGGTGCTGCCAGAACTTCTGTGGGCATGTGGGAGGCTGGGGAGATGAGAGGAGGACCCCGTGTCAGGGCCAACAGAAAGCTGGTGACACAGATCAGGCCACCAGCTGCTGAAGAACAAGATCACAGGGAGGGCGAGGCAGGCACAGTTCTGAGCACTGTTTACTCATGCCAAGTGGTGTAATATGTCATCTTTTCATCCTCCCCACTAAGCCCACGTGGGGGCATTATTAACTTCACTGCAGAGAGGACAAAACAAACTTGGGAGAGGGTAAGCACCATGCTCAAGGTCCCAGGCTAGCGAGGGCTGAACCCTGACTGAAATCCAGGTCTGTCTGGTATCCAGGCCCACACTCTTTCCACTACACTGTGTTGGGTCTGTCATCTGGGACCTTGTGAATGGTCTAAGGTTTTCCTCCCTTGCAGATTTTTTAGTCAGAGCTACAAGAGCAGTAATTTGCACAAAATTAGTCCCCACCTGAGTTTCCTTCCCAACCCTTAGGATTTTCTGCGTTAAGGGAGGAAAGGCTTTGTAGAACCCCTTCAAATTATACTTAAAATACTGTTGGGGTTTATGTGGAATTTTTTTTTGGCATAAGGGTCTCTGGCTTTCATTGGGTTCTCAAAGGGATCTGTGACTCAAAAAAGGTTAATAGCAACTGCTTTAGGCATGATTTTTTCTGATTCTATCCTTTAACAGCTGAGGAAATGGATTTCTTGATCTCTATTTTCTACTTCAAGCTTTTGCGGCTTATTCTGGAGCGACAACAGTACCACCCACACATGCCCCTTGCGTGTGGTTTCTGCTACTTCCCAATGCCATGGAGAGACATCCTAGGGAGGCCAAGCAGCAGGAGGAGCGGCCAGCGTCTCATTGTTCATAGAGAAATGGAGAGTCCCTAAGGAAGGGAGGTCTGGCTCTTTGCCCCAAGTATCATGGACAATGAATATACTTTATATGAATCAAGGCAATGGGAAAAGAGTAGATACCAGAATTATTCATCCAGAAAAACAACTCTTTAGGCCAGGTAGGTTTGAGTTAAGTATGTGGTTATCTCAGATATGCACTTTAAGCACTGGACCCAATAGCTTTGAGGCCTTTTTAAAAATAAGAATTTGGTTTCTTATAAGGATGGGCTCTGTTAAAAAATAGTCATCCAGGTGGGTTGCTCTAAGACCTAACAGCAAGTAAATGATTCTTTTCCCTGCTCCTCAGGGGTGTCTTATTAACTTTCTGAGAGAAAACTTTTTGAATGCAGAAGACAGGGTGCTTTCATTAAATGGCATGGTGACTACTGCCCTTCTGTGTGCCTGTGGACATGAGCCCAGGGGAGGTAAGCAGGAGGACAGCTGTAGCTTTAGAGGCAAAACAAGACAACTTTTTTTGTGGGGGATGGGGGAAATGGGAAGTGGCGAGAAAGTTTTTGTTAATGTGGAAGCTCTTTTACAACTGAATCATTTTCTGGGATTTTAATATGAAGCATTTTGTGATCAGTGAGGGAAAGAACAGAAGTCATCTATAAAATCAAATAGATGAATGATGATAATGTTCCACATTGTAATTACATTAAATATTGTCTTAATCTTATGGGTTACCCTTAAACATATTTGGAAACAAGAATTTGCTAACCCATGACAGAAGTACTTAAAAAAAAAAAAGGATTGGACTTGAGCGAAACACTTTCCCAGAGAGCTCCCCTGGAGAATTTCCTCCCAGCCACTGTTCTCCCCATGTGAGCTGCTGTCTGGTCCTCCTTGGGGAGTTCTTTAGGCTACCAGGCCTCCTCTCAGAACCTGGGCCAGCGCGTCCCCAGTCAGCTTGGCCTGTTCCAGAAACCTGACCTTTCTGAAGTCTGTCTTCCAGTGCGGAAGGGCCTTCCTACTACTCTGGCTGTGAACAAAGATTCAGGGATGAGGAGGGGTCTTCCTCCTTTGTAATGAACCACGGACACTGGAACATGAACATACTCTTCTGGCTGTGAGAAAATGTGGCTGCAGTGGGCAGCTTTGTAATAATTTTCAGGAGCCCCTGAGTTTGTAAAAAGCATACATATTAAATGGATGGTAATCCATAAAAGAAAATAGGAACCCATCAGTCTATACTGACATAAACAAATGGGGGAGAAGGGTGAGGTTTTCCTTACAGAAGAAATGGAGGAAACAGATAATCAACATTTGGCAAATGTTACATTAATAACTGCCTCAGGCAGGAATCACCAGGGATGTCAAAATGAGTGGGTAAAGTGTGATGAGAAATAGGGTATTTACATAGTCCTCAAGTATCACCCCACAAGTTACTATTAATTACAAAGAGAAAAATAGTTCAACAGAGGAGAAAGCTGGCAGGCGCCACCTTCAACAAGTGATCAAAGTCAACATCACCACTAATGGGACAAATCCACGTGATGTGCCTCCTGTTATGATGTACTGACAAGGATACAACATCACCTCTATGGTGCCCAAAATTCATAATCTGGATTTAATCAAGAAGAAACATCAGATGAATTATACAAAATAACTGGTCAATGTTCTTAATAAGTGTCAAGGTCATATGAAAGACAAAGAGAAGACTGAGGAATGACTCATGATTAAAGAAAACCAGAGTCTTGACAGCTAAATGCATGATTGGATCTCAGACCAGAAAAAGGACATTCATGGGCTAGTGTTACCTTCCTGATTTTTATAATTGTGATCATGTAAAATGTTAGCATTCTCTGGGAGAAGAGAATATGAGAATTTTTTAATAACCTTTTGGTAAGTCTAAATTATTTCAAATGAAAAGTTAAACAAAATATTCTTGAAAACATATACCCTAGAGATGAGGCTTTCTCTCTCCATTTTCCTGGGCCTGACATTATGAAGCCTGTGGGCAGACATATATAGCTAAAGACTCAGTGCCCACATGGGAAGGGAGTGCTGGGATCCGTTTGGGACTTTATTAGAGTCAAACTCAGGCTTCTAAGATTTATACACACAATAAATGATAACATTCAAAGGATATAAACTATCCTTAACAGGTTTCCAGGGAGGGTCAGACGCATGCCAAGTCCCTCCTTCAGCCTTTGGAAGGAGTTGTGTCCTTGTAAGTCCCGCCCACAACCAGAGGATGGAGAAATGCAGTACAAACGGTAAGACGTTCATCACTCACTTGTCCTGGGACTCAATATACACGTAGAGATGAGGCTCAAAACACTTGGAAACAATGCCATGAAATGGATTGTCTGGGGCTTTAGGCTTCTTTGGCTGTAAAGGAAAAAAAAAAAAGAAGAAGAAAAGAAAAAAGAAATCCTGTACTTGAGCCATCTTTGCAAACTTTCAAGCAGTTTCAAAGAAAACATCTCTCCCTTTGAAGGTTACTCCTAACTTATAGATAAGCAGCACTTAAATGTAACTAAGCTGGAACTCTGTCCTGCATTATGAGTCAGGCCAGTTTGTGAATAATAAGCCCACTTTGTTAGCATCATTTATTTGCTTTGTATGGTGAAATATTTACTATTGCTTTGATAACACACGTGTTTTCAATTTGGAAGCTATTCATCATTTGACTGATGTTTTAAAAATCTAAATCCTAGCTAATAATAGCACCTTATATATTTCCACAGTGCTTTAGAATTTATAAAATACTTTCACTTGACCTAGTTTTGATAGCATCCATTACTGACTGCTACTATGGGTCAAGCACTTTGACACAAAATGACATCTCACTACCCCTCACAACAACCCTCAACGTGGGAATTATGACTATTATTTTACACCTAAAGAAAGGGAGGCTCAGAGGGTTCTAGCATCCTGCCCAAAAACACATGGTGAAGTTTCCCATGTCCTGAACTAGAACTCTTTCTACTACATCATTGCTTTCCTGCAATGGTTCCTAGACGGTTGAATTTCATCAACAAGTAAACCTAAGAGAAAGAAGGACAGGGGACCAACATAAGGTTGCTAGTTTTTTATTTTGTTTTCTATTATCACTACAAGTTCCTAAAAGAAAGAGTATTTACATCCAAACATTTTATAAGGAGAAAATAGCAGCATAAAGGCAGTTCTTCCTAAGAAAAGAGAGGTGGTGACCTTATACGAGATAGACAGGCAGAAAGACAACGGACAGGTGGCAGGCTATTTTATCTTTATTTTTGCCTTGGACCAGTGAGAAACTTGACCAGCTCTAGTCCCCAGCTGATAGTTGGAAAACTGCAGATATATAGGTCATCCAGGCAGGCAAGCATTTAAAAAGTGCATTTGTTATTTAATTCCTTTTCAAAACATTTAAAAATCAAACAAGAATCTTCCTATGTATTTATTTCTATTCCAAAAAAAGTCAATTCTATTTGTCAAATGCCAACAAAAGGACCCCAGGCCCTTGCTGGGGTTGACACTAGAGTACAATTAGGGTGTAAATTGGCACCCACGGCATACTTGTTGAATCGAACTACTCATGTCTTTTATTAAATACAGGGAAAGCTAAGCTCCCAATGACAGGGAGAAATGATTACCTTCTAGTAATTTTTTAAAATAAAATGTTGTAATGGTTAAAAGCATCTGTAAATGATCACCAAAAATTAAATGTCAATCTTAGACATATCCTATTCAATCTCACAGCACTTTCTCAGAGTTCCATGTCTTTAATTCTCTGGTATGATTTCTAGAAACTCTGGTTCTTCGTAATTACAACCTTGGCTATTTTCTCATCCAGAAACCACTGCTGAAGTCAGGCCTTGGGGTGAGCCTACAAGAGACTCCCAAGACCAGGCTCCCTGAGTTTGACCTGGCTGGATCCAAAGTTCCACTTCATTTCCTAGATGCCCTCAGAATTTTTCCACACTTTCATTAGTTTAAAAATGGAGGACCCACAATAAGGGGTTGGACTTTACCTATTCTATATTTTCCAAGTTAGCTATCTATTTTTTATTATTTTATTCTGATTTTCAATAATGTAAGGTGATTTGTTAAATGAAGAGACCAATGTGATTTGTCTAACTTTTTAAAGACTAGGTATCCTGATATTAGAATTAGAAAACACAGCTATTCTACCCAGACTTTTATTTTATTAATTAAAATACAAGCATCATAAGTATTATAATTATTCCCTTTATTTACATTTTCTCCCCTTGACAAAACTATTCACACATCTGCAGGATAGCTTCTGGTAATTATAAATGGGAGTTTATATAATATAGAATGTTGTCATGGTTTAAATCAACATGCAATTTTCTATTTGGCTTTATTTACTTACTAGTTCATGTACACTTTTCTAACTACTGGCAAGGTTTTAAGTTACCACTTTAGAATGGCTATGTTACAAAATTTAAATAAAGCCTACAGATTAAGTAATAGTATTGTTACTTAAAAATACTGGTTACTGGTGTTAAATTTTCTGATTTTGATCTGTGGTAACTAAGTAAATGTCTTTCTTGGGAAATATATACTGAAATATTTAGAGGTAAAGGGCATGATGTCTGCAAACTTACAACTGTTCTAAAAGAGACAGAGATGGAGGCAGGGAAGGAAGGAGGGATGGGGAGGGAGAGAGAGAAAGAAAGAGGGAAGAAGGAGTGGGAAGAAATGATAAAGTAAGATGTCACCAAGTGGTGAACCCAGGTGAAGATATTTGAGAACTCCTTGTAATATTCTTATAATTTTTACCTAAGCTTGACATTATATTAAAAAAAAGTTAAAAATAACAATAAAAAACTTGGGAAATGGGTGCCAATGGCCTGGCAAATCACCCCAGATGCAGCAATGGAGCACTCTTGAGAAATGGCACATCACCAACAGTCTGCGTGGCTCGGAGGACAATGCTGTGTGGGAAAACAGACATCGGTGCCTGAGTGAAAAGAGGGTTAGCCTCAGTTTCCTGGTTTTGCTAATGCACTATGGTTATGCTGGCTGCGACCACTGGGGAAGCTGGGAGATGGGCACGTGGACCTCTCTGTACTCTGCAATTGCTCATGCATCTGTAATTATTTCAAAATAAAGTTCTTTCAAAATTGGTTCAGGAGAGTTGGACTCCGATTGTGGAGAAGTTTTAGGAATATCATTACCTATTTATTTTGCTTCTATTTTCCTTTTTATGTACATAGAAAAGTGATATATGATAAAAACTGGATGTCTGGATAAGTCTGAAGAGCTTATTCACTTAAGTATAAAATACAGATTCTACATGATAGAAGAAAATAGCTACCTGATATTCCAACAAATTCACCTTGCTCAGTCTCCCACAGCCCCTATGCTTGCCCAAGCCCCACAGACCACTCTGAACTTGGCACTCAGAGAGAAGCATAATGAGATGGCACAGGCCTCTCAACCACCCAGGTGACTGTGCTCCACCCGCCCATGACCACTGATGCCTCTCCTGGCAGGGAGGAGGGACTGTCACCACCGGTCTCAGTCCTCTTGCAGCGTTTTTAGTGTGAGTTGGAAGCAAGAGGAGAACAATGGGAGGGACTGCCTGGTTTCCTTTTTTCTTTTTTTTTCCATTTTCTTTTTTCTTCCTCCTGCCTACAGCTGTTTTATGAATGTGCTCATATTTACATAATAGGTGTTGGAATTTCAGCTTAAACTAGTGTCTCTCTTTGCACTGTCCAGCTCCCCAAACGGTTGACTCTCAGCTTAAAGAATATACTAAGTCACTCAGCAGTAGTATTCAGGCTGGATTTCTGAGTGTGTGAATTCTGTCCAAAAGCTGCAGATGTTTAAGCTATTTCCTCCTGGAGTTTGAAGGAATAATAAAAGGTTACTGTTGTCACAGTAAGGAGGTCTGCAGCTGGTCCCATTTCCTTTTATTACTATCCAATGTAAACAGATTAAATCTAACTGCTCAGATCACCAGAAGGGTACACTTTTAAACCAGAAAGTCCTTATTTCTTTTCCCTCTTTCTTTTATACTTTGAGCACCCTCAGTCCCCATCCAGATGCCATTTTTTATTATTGGGAATATGCTTGCAACTGGTTGTTCTACTAAATGCCTCTGCAAGTTTCCTCTCCCTTCTCAAAAGCCTATCTTGCAGTAGTGAGCAGGGGTGACCCTTACCTTGAGGACCAACTGTCCACTGACTGCAGTGACACAGTGGGTTGGATACCCAGGGCAGCTGTCAGGGCTTCCCTCACCGCCCTTGGCTGAGCTGGGCCCTAGCATACTGGGTACTTCCTCTCTAGCACCCATGGGGCTCCTGTTCCTCTTGTGTACCCAACTCCAAAAGCCAACATGTGGCTGGGGAGAGGGAGATCCTGCAGCTCCCACCTAATCAGCCACAAGCACGCCAAGTGCTGGCGAGGCAGCAGGAGGCATCGGTCATTGATGCTTACATTTTATTACTAACAAGTAACAGCCTGTGAGTTGTCGTGGTTCATCTAGTCCAGGGACTTTAGTACTTTCTCTTTAAATGGACCTAAAAATCCCTGGGTTGAAAGAAATTCTTCTTGGAAATCCATGACAAAAGTGACTCACAGTAGAATAGTTCTGTTTGGAGGGACCTAGGACTCTGGTCTCCTCCTAACTTGCCACCGTGACATCTGATGGGGCACCAAGGAGCACAGCGTGAAAACCATTTGCTCTGTCTAAAGATAAAGAAACTCGGGAAATCTAGAGGAAGTAAAACCTACCTAAGGTCACGTGGCTTACTAATGGCAGACAAGAGTCTGGCATTTTCCCATGACAGGGCTCTGCTTTATCCCATGTATTTGTGTCCTGTGGCCTTAGAATGAGCACTTCCAAGTCCTGACAATTACCTTAAGCTTCCAGGATAGGTAAAAAGGTCCATGAGAAAGAAATATCATGTTTTACCTGGCAAAACTGCTTTTGTTGGTAATGGGGGCTCTGCCAAAATCCAATTTCATAACATCCAGACGTGACTAGCTAAAGGGATGACTTCTCATGGCAGCACTGCAAGCATCTGAGCACTCAGCTACATGATTCTGGACAGGACAATGGCACGTGCCCACCACCACTGGGGACCCCAAGGGCCCTGAAGATGGCACTACTGTGCAGAGCAAGCTCAGAGGGTGCTGGGACCAAGTGTGGGTGGAGAATATGCTGGAACAATGAGCTCTATATCCAGACTCCTCCCTCCCATCAAGGTCCTTCCTGACAAAATTGAGAGGTGCATTTCTTTAATCAGAAGAAATCTTTCATTTTTCTCTCCATGCTGGTTGATATGATGGTTTTAAATCAGTTAACATCTAATCCCATAGATCTCCTGGGCACAGCCTCAAGGTATCCTGTTGGTTTTATTCATTCACTTTTATCCATGGGATTCATTTCGAAGTCTTCCACCTTTCACTGAGCCATCACAGGGTACTAAAAAAGCACCAGGAAAGGAAGTCTCAGACTTTCAGACCTGGCTCCCAGTCCTACCTAGGTCCTCTACTTCCAAACTATGTGACCCTGGGCAAACCACTTAACCTCTGAGTTGCAGGCATTGCGGCTCATATAAAATCCCATAAAAAGAGAGGCAGGCATTGTGAAGACAAAATGAAATACAGCATGTAAAAGACTTTTACTCTACAACACCATAAAAATGGGAGGTATCCATGTTATTACAATTATTTAATCAATGGGCCAGACGGATTTTATTGCATTACTTTAGAACCGCTCCTGGAAATTCTGCGCTCTTAGCTCCTGCCAGGATTGAGCACCTACCTGAGCTGTGCTAGGAATGCACAGTTAGCTGTAGAGAGTGCGGGTACGGGTTTCCCAGAGCTGGTCTTTCCAGCCAGCCTCCCTTTTGGTGTCTGGAGCAAAACAGTGCTATAAAATAATCTTCTAGCAGCCAAGTGTAGAAAATTAAAAAGAAGGATCACTAATCCAAACAGGAAAAGTTCTGAGCTATTGCTCTAACCTCTCTTGTCATGAAATGGCAGTGAAACAAAAATACCATTCTGTAGAATAAAGGGAGAAGACATTTCGAATTGGACAGAAAAATCCAAAGGAAATTAAAGCGCTAGTGTGCTCTGAAAAGTAACTCTCCATCTATGCCACTGGTCACCCTGATGTTTCCAGGCCTCTCCAGCAGTTTCCAGACCTAAAGTGATCAGCTCACACTGAGTGGAGGCCTCTCCTTGCTGAGGGTGCTGCTAATATCCCTGGGGATCTTTCAGTCTCTCACTTCGTCACTAGCCCAGATGAGAGCATAACTGAAAGCTAAGCTGACAAGTACAAGAGAGGATGAATGAGACAGGGCAGAACACTGCTGCAGCGCCACATGGGCTAATGAAGTTTGTGTGTGTTTCTAATTCCGGTGGGGACAGTCCTCAGCAGCAGTGAGGTGGGGCAGGAAGAGCTGCTCTTTCACTCAGTGTTCTAAAGGCACTTTCAGATAAAGGCTTTCTGCAAAGACCACCACAGCCGCAATCTCTACATGTGGTCATTAGTCAAAGGATCATATTTAGAGGGAGCAGACTGATTTTCAGAGACAAACTTTAGGTAGGTTGCATGTAGAAATGCAAACCGGACTTACTTGATCTAAATCTCCTTTCTCTATCACCAGTTCCTCAATCTCTGGTGCTGGCTCATCTTCCAGGAAGGGATTGGTGGAAAGAGGTGGAGACTCGAGTTTTTTCTGTTAAAAAAGACATGAGAAAGGGATAGGTATTTCTGAGCATATTCAATAGCTTTCCCCATTGTTCTGCATTTCCCATGTCTTTCCAACAGCTACATCATGAAATCAGATCTACTGAGCAAGAACTAAGACAACATGGACTACATTCTCACCTCCAGAATTTCACTCTGCTTTTCAGTCTTCCCGAAGCTTTATTGCCCACCCCATCCTGATCCTAATTTGCCTAAAACTCTCACTCATCCTCCAGTCTTCAAATTAGGAGCCTTTTCTTCTGGGAAGACTTCCCCACCTGCCAAGTTTGGGTTAGATGTCCCTGCCGCATGCTCCCATCCCACCAGTATGTCCCTTTCCTAGGTATTTATCAAAATATTGCAACTGCCCATTTAGTTTTCTCTTCATTAGACTCCATGATGTCAGGAATCATGTCTATCTTGTTCCCCATCCCATCTCTAGTGCCTGGCATGTGCTCCATAAACATGAATGAATCAAAATGCCAGATGCGTTTGAATTCCAAAACAAACTGTAAAGCTACTCTTATGTGTTCTAGATTACAGACAGAAGTCCCTTCCCAAATAAATTCCATTACAGCAAGTACAAAATCTCCTTGAAAAAAATTAGTTCCTAGCTCCTGAATAGGACCACCCTTTCCAAATACATCCCTAAGTGGGACCTCAGGCTGGTGAGAAAGCTGGAGGCAGGAGATGTGGGTTTTAGCTCCAACTCTGCTGCCCTGGCCCAGTGTGTCTAGCATCTCTGAACCCCCGCAGCCTCCCCTGCTGAAGGAAGATGCACTTCCAGGACTGCCTGGAGAATCAAATGTGGTAGAGTATATGAAAGCCTAGAAGCAGCACATGACAAACATGAGGGACATCAGTGATGATAATACCAGCACAACAACGAGGCAGATCTTTGGAATTTTTGTTACAAATTTGACCTTGAGGTGTTGTTAATGCCAGGGAGTTATAGCAGAAAGGAAGCTAAATGACAAGCAAGGCAAAAGGAATTGGCTGGTGCTGGGCATGCAGGGAAGGGGGAAGGGGTTATTGTAGACAATAACCCAAGGGGAGAGGGAATTTTTAAATGAACTTGTGACATTTTAGCAGATATCAGCAGAGCAGCATGAGCCAATTCCTAAGCCTTGAGGGACTCTAGTGAATGACTTTGTCCAGTGCTAGGACATCAGCTGAAGATGTTACCAAAACAAACACAGAAAAGCTAAAAATAAAATTTTAACATAAAAAACAAACCCCACCTGTGTCTGGTTTAGGCTTTAAAACAATTCTGTTTACACTCATCTAAACTACTTAATTCTTGGCCCAAACACTTGGATGCTCTTGTGTAACTAGATAGTGCCTCAGTGTATGAAGAAAGCCTTGTGATTAATGTATTAGCTCAAGGTAATTATCAGTAGCATAATAATTTTTGTGGTATCCTGCAGAGAAACAATGAGGTCTATTCAGCAAGCAGACATTTCAAATTTATACACTGCAAACCTTGGCTTCTTTGCCTGTTATGGAAAAAAAAATCCCTATAAACTTAAAGCTATTTAAATTTATTTTTAGAATTCAGCTATTTTTAGAAAGCAATGTTTCTTTAAAAACAGTATTTTAAGCTTTAGATACCTTTCTAAGGGTTCCTGGTAGATTAGGGAGAGGGGAATGATGAGACAGAGCGTTTATGAAGCCTCAATAACAAGTTGAATGTGTTCACAGCACTGGATTCCTGATCCCACTGGCTGATTCCTGAACAGTGGGTTTTGGGATCATACTGTTGAGCTGAATCTCTGATTTGCATTCTTTGGTCCCTTGGAGATGTGGAAAGAAAGTCAGCAGCTGAAGTTGAAAAAGCTCTGTTCAAGATCGTTCAGTGATAGAAACAGGATTTGAAATTTTAAATTAAATGACCTTTGTCTACTGCTAGCTCTCCTAGGGTTGATAGTAAGTGTCACAATTACATACAGGAGGGCCCCATTTTAGAAACAATGTATTATTGGATGTGGGCGAAGCAGACGGGGTATTCTGGCGCTCCATGCCCACTGTATGGATGTTAAATGGTGAGAAGTAAAACACAAAGGGCAGAGAGTTAAGGAACAGAACAACATCTGAGGCAGCACAGAATGTGCTACTGATTAAGTGTTTCCAGGCCGGATGATCCTGAGGTTTCTTTCCTCTGCCCGCAGTCTGTCTCTGTGAACATGCTGCCGAGATTACCGAGGGCTCGTGGCACTATGAACCCTTTATGCTTGCTCATTCATCTGGGGCACACACATTCCACTTGTGGACTAAGTTGAAACAAGAAAGGTGACTCATTCCTCCATTCATCCATTTGACCAATGGGCGTGCTGGGCCCTACAGTCAAGCAGGGAGCAAGGCAGGGCACCCACTGCTCTCATGAGAGCAGTCAGATGGGCAAAACTGATTTCAGTCAGTCACACAAATGTGTGATAAGGGCCGTGCAGGAAAAGGAGAGACTGTTATGAAAGAATATAGCAGAGGGTCACAGAAACTTCCCTATGAAAATGGTATTTGAGTCAGAGCTGAAGGGTCTGCCAGAGTTAACTATGTGAGAGAGAGGGGGTCGCCAGAGCCTTCAACACAAAGGAAAGAGCCTATGTTTGCCATTCATTCAACAATCTGTACTGAGCACATACTCTGTCCCAGGCACTCTTCTAGGTACAAGTATGTAACACTGAGTAAGATAAAGAAGGAAGGCACTGCAATGAAAATAAAAGAGCTGGGTGGGCTGGGGCTGAGGCTGGGGAAGTGCTCCTTTATACAGGGCAATCAGAGGAGGCCTCTTTGAGGAGGTGATATCTGAGCAGAGACCTGAATGAGAAGGAGCTAGTCGGGCAAAGACCTAGGGAAGAGCACTCTTGGCAGGGGAATCCAGTGAGGGGGCTGGAATGAGTTGCCTGAGTCTGCAGGGCAGAAAGCAGGTCAGGGCACGAGGTAAAAGAGGTGGCGGGAACCTAATCACAGGCTGGGGAAAAGTTAAGAGTTTCTTCTCATTGCAACTGGGCAGTCCCTGGGATTTTTTAAAATTAATTAATTAATTTTGTTGTTATTAACCTACAATTACATGAAGAATATTATGTTTACTAGGGTCCCCCCTTCACCAAATCCCCCCCCACAAACCCCATTACAGTCACTGTCCATCAGCGTAGTAGGATGCTGTAGAATCACTACTTGTCTTCTCTGTGTTGCACAGCCCTCCCCATGCCCCCCCCACATTATACATGCTAATCGTAGTGCCTCCTTTCTTTTTCCCCACCCTTATCCCCCCTTCCCTCCCTTTCCCTTTGATAACTGTTAGTCCATTCTTAGGTTCTATGATTCTGCTGCTGTTTTGTTCCCTTCAGTCTTTCTTTGTTCCTATAGTCTTTGGGTTTGAGGTGAGTCTCTTGTAAGCAGCATAGAGATGGGTCTTGCTTTTTTATCCATTCTACTACTCTGTGTGTTTTGATTGGTGCATTCAGTCCATTTACATTTAGGGTGATTATTGAAAGATGTGTACTTATTGCCATTGCATGCTTTAGATTCGTGGTTACAAAAGGTTCAAGGTTAGCTTCTTTACTATCTTACTGTCTAACTTAACTCGCTTATTGAGCTATTATAAACACTGTCTGGTGATTCTTTATTTCTCTCCCTTCTTATTCCTCCTCCTCCTCCACTCTTTATATGTTGTGTGATTTATTCTATGCTCTTTTGTGTTTCCTTTAACTGTTTTTGTGGGTAGTTGATTTTATTTTTTGCCTTTAGTTAGTATTTGGTTGGTCTGCTTTCTTTGGTGTGATTTTATTTTCTCTGGTGACATCTATTTAGTCTTAGGAGTGCTCCCGTCTAGAGGAGTCTCTCTAAAATACCCTGTAGAGGTGGTTTGTGGGAGGCAAATTCCCTCAACTTTTGCTTCTCTGGGAATTGTTTAATCCCTCCATCATATTTAAATGATAATCGTGCTAGATACAGTATTCTTGGTTCAAGGCCCTTCTGTTTCATTGCATTAAATATATCATGCCACTCTCTTCTGGCCTGTAAGGTTTCTGTTGAGAAGTCTGATGATACCTGATGGGTTTTCCTTTGTAGGTGACCTTTTTCCTCTCTCTAGCTGCCTTTAAAACTCTGTCTTTGTCCTTGACCTTTGACATTTTAATTATATGTGTCTTGGTGTTGTCCTCCTTGGGTCCTTTCTGTTGGGAGTTCTGTACACTTCCATGGTCTGATTGATTATTTCCTCCCCCAGTTTGGGGAAGTTCTCAGCAATTATTTCTTCAAAGACACTTTCTATCCCTTTCTCTCTCTCTTCTTCTTCTGGAACCCCTATAATGTGGATATTCTTCCTTTTGGATTGGTCACACAATTCTCTTAATATTGTTTCATTCCTGGAGATCCTTTTATCTCTCTCTGTGTCAGCTTCTATGCGTTCCTGCTCTCTGGTTTCTATTCCAGCAATGGCCTCTTGCATCTTATCCATTCTGCTTATAAATCCTTCCAGAGATTGTTTCATTTCTGTAATCTCCTTCCAGACATCATCCCTTAGCTCTTGCATTTTTCTCTGCAGCTCCATCATCATGGTTATGAGCTTTATTTTTAATTCTTTTTCAGGAACACTGGTTAGGTCTATCTCCTTCTCAGGGTTTGCCTCTGTGATCTTGGTCTGTATCAATTTCTTCTGCCTTTTCATGGTGATAGATATATTTGTGGGGAGTTAGTGCATGTGTTGTATAAGAGAAAGTCCCTTCTTGCCAGTTTGTAGCCTTCCTCTCCTGGGAGAACAGCGGCCTCTAGTGGCTTGTGCTGGGCAGCTGTGTGCAGACAGGGCTTCTGATCTTGCCCGGCCGCTATGGAGTTTAGCACTACGGTTGCTGTGCGCGTGGCCTGCCTCAGGCTGCTTCTCCAATATGGCGGAGCTGCTTTGGAGGGGGAACAGGAGGGAGGCTGTTTCTTGTGGTGAGGGGCCTCCGCACTGCGGTGCGGGGGTTTGGGTGCCCAGAGTTCCCTGTG